GAATAATTGATCTAGAGAAATAGGTTACTTTGTTATTTTTTTTTTCCAGATTTGGACATTTTAAATTGGGTTATAAAGCTTAGGTATGTGATCTATAAAAGATACTCACTGCAAGGGGAAATGATCAAAACTTGATAAAGTGCATGCTTATGTCTAGAATAAGCAGTGCTGTGTAGTGATGAAAAAACAGAGCCATTGGTATCAAATGCGAGTCTTCAACCCCAGCACACTATAGGTAGGTTTAGCAGTTCTGAGCCTCATGTGTAAAGAAGGATGAAAAAAACATACCTAAAAGTTGCCTAGTGGAGTGAGTGATGCCTGGGTAGTACTTAACACATTCTACTTTCCTTACTGCTCTATGCTCTCTTAAATACTGTGTTCAGTCAGCTGTTGGAATATTTTTTAGTTAACAAGGAATCAAAACACGCTTTAGGGGAACCAGCAGTTAGCGTAATGCCTATGTCGCTGGACTCCAATGTAGTCAATCGTGATTCGCATCCTGGACCCGGTGGCTTAAAACTCACGCCAGGCGCGTGTATGTGCATGCCCAAGAGCCCGAGAGGAGAATGGAGGAGAAGGGATTGTGGCGTGGCCATCCCCCTGGGGGGTGATTTCTCGCTTTCTGTCTCTATGTCTCTCTCTGTCTGTCTGGCAAGCGCACGTGCCCTATAGCGAAAATCTCTCAAAAAAAAATTAAATAAATAAGTAAAATTAAAAAAAAAAAAACCACTCTTCAGGAAAAAGTGCTAACAGTAAGCTGCTTTTGCCAAAATGATACTTGCTTCACATCATCTACTCCCACATTCTTTTTTCTTTTTTAAGTTTATTTCCTGAGCAAGAAAGTGTTACCCTTGACAGATTCTTTACATCAAGCTCCTCTCCCAAGTCCTGAAGCCATACGGAATCGCAGGAGTACCCAGTATGACCAAGTAGACCAGGACACAAACCCATACGGGTTTCAACGTCATTCAGCAGTGGCCCTACTTTCTGCCTCACATCCTTAATTGGTGGGACGAGAACAAATGGTCACAAATTAAATCTCTCTACAAACATGTGTACGGTATAACTAGTTGCTCTAATAGGAGTGTCTCAAAGATACACTTATTGACTTAATTATACTTTCAAAAACAGAGAACAGCTAAAAATTCTGTAATTACAACCCACATCCCCATCACCTAGGTTTAATGGTTGTTATGATCATGCTAACACTGAAGTCAATGAGAGCATTAGCAGAATTTAAGTGTATTCAGTTCTTAGGCCTTATGTATGTCTATAAAGCACCAACAGAAGTCATCCACAAGGGTTTCTTCATGGTGAACCTTTCCCTATTCATTGATGGTAAACTATCTCTGAGGTAAACTGTTGAAGATTACAGAGGATGGGCCTCTGATTCTTTCCCATAATACCACCTCTTGGTTTCCTAGGTGGCCTTGGGCTTCCTCTCTTCTGCTTTATCTCACACGACAGATGCTTCTTCTCGATTCTTTTTATACCCTCCAGACTGTCAATGAAATACTAAGATTGCTAAACTTAGCAAAGAAAAATACAGAATGTCTAGTTGAATTTGAATTTAAGACAATTTTTAAAACTATAAGGATATCCAAATATTGCATGGTACATGTTTACATCAAAAAAATTCAGTTCTACCTGAAATTCAATTTTTTTTTTAAGAAATTTTTGTTATAGGGCATGTGCACTTGCTGGAAAAACAGAGAGACAGAAGGCAAGAAATCACTCCCCCCCTGCTCCACAATCCTTTCTCCTCTTGAGATTTTGGGCATGCACTTACATGTGCCCAGTATGAGTTTCAAGCTGCTGGGTCCAGGGCTTGAATCATGGTCAACTACATGGGAGTCTAGCATTGTAACCATTACACTGTCTGTTGGTCCCCTGAAATTCAAATTTAACTAAGCAATTCTGACAACCCTATGAAACAGACAAACCCAACGAGCTTCTGACAAGCTGTAGATTATTTTGGAGGTGTTAGGGGTAGGGGGTGCTATCTGACCTACTTTGGCTAGGCTTGCTCATGTCTGGGGGTCTGACTATGGAATGATCTAGGCTGGCCTCAGTTGGGAGCATTGTTCCATGCACCTCTCATTCTTTTCTTAGTACTATTTAGCTAACCCAAAGCATTTTTCATTGCAACATTTCAAGCACAGTAAAAGCCAGCAGAAACATTCAGGCTTTCAAGGCTTGGTGTCAGAATTGGCATGGTGTCATTTTGCCCTCATTCTACAGGTGGGTAAATGGCTCCTTTTCTTTAGGGAGAGGAACTACAAAGTACGTTAAAAGGTGAGACTGCATGAAAGGTTAAGAGTTGTTTTCATCATTATACTCTACCACAGAGGTCAGTAGGAAAGAAGTTACTTGTTCCGAAAACTATAAATTTATTTGCAATGGTAGCATTTTTTCTTCTCCAAGAAAAGTAACTTCCAAAGTAATTTCCCCAATATATGAAGCAGAAATGCTCACACTTCTATATAAGTTACCAGAACGTTCCATAATTTTTAAAATACCTATTAGAAAAATTCTGTTGAGTGTATTGTGGCTTTTTTGGTTTTTGCCATAAACAAAATACATGTATACAAAAAGCCTGATGTATCAAGGATAAAAATTTGCAGAAAAAGTTGTAGCATACTATTCTGGTGTCCCTTGAAATTCAACATCACTTTCTTCACCATTGTTTGCTAAGCTTAGTCATTGGAAAGAGTCTAGAAATTAATGTGGGATTCTGAGACTTATCTGGTATGGGACCTTTTTAAAATAGCAATATCAAGAACTATTTTCTTTCAAATGTGGATCAGAGAGTAACAATCTTGTATACTCTCAAAAGCATCAAATATTTATGAGTCATTTTTACATTAAAAATATGATCTCAGAAACCACTCTGACCATGGAAATTCTCATTGTGACATCCAACTGGAAATTCTTTTTCCAAGTCATTTAACAAAATCAGAAGATAGCAGCAGCTGGACAGTGGCTCAGCAGTAAACAACGTGGACCTGTGAGTCTGACCCACATGGAGAGATTGTGGGTTCATGTTGGGAGACCTCCCCGAGTATTCCAGGCATGTCTACGCCCTGCTCTCTAGCTGGCAAAGCTAGGTGGACCACAATAGCAGGAGCCTGTTGGGGGGTGCTGTCTCTGTCCCTCTTGCTCATGAAAAGAATAAACTTTTAATTAAAAAAAAACATAGGTAATAAAAATAGTGAGCTGGATTCTTAGCTCTTTTGTACTTATTTTCTCTACCAGTAGTAGGTAGAAATTGATCTGGCACCCTTTTGGTTCTCTGAGTAGTGCTATGGGAGTTGGCAAGAATACGTACCTTAAAAAATGGTGGCATAAAGGGAACCAAGAATAAAGTGGTTGATTTATTTCTAAAAAAAGATTGCCATGATGTTTAAGCACTTGCTATTCTCAATATAAAAAATATTGGGGGCACACTAGTCACCAGGACACAAGGAACCAAAATTCCATCTAATGACCTTAAGAGTCATGTGTTCAAAATGAGCTTTGGTGATCTGCAGAATGATGAAATCACATTTAGGAAATTCAAACTAATTACTGAGGATGTTCAGGGCAAAAACTGCCTAACTTTCTTGGCATGGATCTTACTTATGACAAAATGTATTCCATGATCAAAAAATGGCAGACCGTGATTAAAGCTCATATTGGTGTCAAGACTACTGATGGTTATTTGCTTTGTCTCTTTTGTTTTGGGTTACTAAAAAAATACAACAATTAGATATGGAAGACTGCTTTTGCCCAGCATCAGCAGGTCTGTGAAATCCAGAAGAAGATGATGGAAGTCATGAGCCAAGAATGCACCAAAGTTGGATGATGATGGATATGAACCACCAGTCCAAGAATCTGTTTAAAGTTCAGACTTTTAATAGTGACAAATAGAATATCCTATGTGTGACAAAAACAAAAAAGAAGAAGGAGAAGGAGAAGGAGAGGAAATTGATCTGGTATTAGACAAAAAATTGTATCAATTGGGACTCTTCCAGTTTTGAGCATAAGCAATTTTAGGTCTAAGGACAAGACTGGTCTCATTTCATCAATTTAAATCAGGCATCTGTGTGGGTGTTGTTGCCTGTGCCTGTTGACCGAAGCAGATCTAGTAGAAGCGACATGAGAGGAAGGGTCATCCCTCAGAAGAATAGAAGTAGTTTAAGTAAGTAATACCTGCTCATTTGTATAGTATTAAAAATAGGTAACTTTAGAAAATGAACTCTGGGCCCAGCTCAACAGTGTAATGGCAACAAGCTGAGAGGAGAGGGAGAGGGAGAGAAAGAGAGAGAGAGAAAATAGAAGAGGAGAGGAGAGGAGAGAAAACAGAAGAGGAGAAGGAAGGAAGGAAAGAAAGAAAAACAATGTGCGCCACTTTTAAAATTCATGTAATCCTTACAACCACCCCCAAGTAGGTCTATTATCAGTGTTCTACAGGACAAAATGGAGCATGGAGAAGAAATTCACCCAGCGCCCCATGACTCCTAAGTAGCGGACCTACGAACCCAAGTGCCTTGACTCCAATCAACATTGTGTGTATTCCACAGCAAGAAACAAGCAATAGAACATTTAGTTGACACGTGACAGATCTGTACTGCAAAAGGCAAAGCTCTTCCAAAACACCGTTGGAGTAAAAGTTACTAAATAGTATTAGAGTGTGACTCTTTTCATGTAAAGAAAGCAAAATAAAATGAAATAAAAAAGCAAGAACCTAACAGCCCCAAACAAACCTGTAGATACATGATGGATATGAATACATTTATATAGGAATCCATATCAAAATGATAACAATGGAGAAGGAAGTGGGATGCTAAGAACAAGAGAGGGTATTTCAATCCGTATAATTTCTGTGAAATCAGTTAGGGAGCCCTGACAAATGGTAGATCTTACTGCTACTTGTTTGTTCACTGGCTGATAGAAACGTGTTCTTTGGGCAAGATGACACAAATAGGCTGGTTAATAAACCACACTGTTACAAAAGCACCGCAAATACATAACTTAGCTTTATTAAACAGGAAAAAAAAAATTAACGCATTTTCCAAAGAGGCAGGTATCACAGTAGTTTTAGTGAAAACCAACTTAACATCAGCTTGTTGGAACAAAGCGTTTAGAATAAGGGAGCAATACAGTATTTAAAGCAGAGAAAGAACACCAACAAGCTCTAGATCCCAAAATAGATATAAGCCAGCAAAGTAGGCACTGCTTTGCTTAGAAGTTTTAGCTTGAATGTAAATATATATTATTATTTAGAATATTAGCATCTGAACTGCATAATGACTATGTTATCATTTAACTTTAATTAAAACCAGGATTTCTGGACTTTTCAAATAGTCTTTAATGTCTTCCAATATGGACATAAACTAACACCTATTCCTCTCTACATATCAGATGTGAGATTACTCACAAATATCAACATTTTCACAGGAAGATTTTTAAGGCTTCTGGCACATAAAACCCATATCTGTGTAATGATAATGACATAATAATATACAAAAAATATTTCAATTCCCCTTGTGCAATTTAAAACCTAAAGATTAAAAAAACCATGTGTTCCATGTTAATAAAATATTAACATACTAGGAGAGTTCCATAAATTTGACAGTGATTTGTAATTACATAAAGAATGCAAAAATAAATCTTACTGATTCATCATCAAAAATAATTGTTGAACTGAATATACTTGACATCACTAGCTTTCTAGCTTATTCTCTCAGCACGAAATAGACTTTTAACTTATAAATGTTTCCAATTAAACTGTAATATTGAGGCAACAAATAGATCTATGTTTACCTAGCTGTTCATGACACAAAATAAGTCTATAAATTTTTATACTTTTGTCTAAGTCACCATTGTAGAGAATGTATCCAGAAATAGGTGAAGTTAATAAAGGATTATTTTCCATTTGAAAAAAAAAAAGAAGTAATTTTTACCTTTTTTTAAAAATTCTGAGGCAGCATATTCAGCTTTTAAGGCAGAAAAAGACACCCCCCCAAAATTATATTAAATTATACATTCTGATATTTATTTTGGCATTAAATGCCGTAACACAACTTCTTATACTTTAATAGACAATATATTAGTGTACATCTGAATATACATTCTCCGTTAGTATGCAGTGGGTCTGTGAAGTGGAAGTGGTGACGTGCAGTATGGCAGGACATTTAATGGCCATCCTGGACATCAGAGGACACGGGCTGGCTGAGTCTTGACCTTCCGTTCACAGATATTGTATTTGAAGGAACAGTGACCTAAGAGAAAGAAATACACTTTGCACCCATCAATTTACAATAGGACAGCTGTCTAATCAATTTTCAGCAATAATGGCATTTTAGCTTCTTGACTGTAAATACTAACATTTTGTATTTATCTAGTCAATAAATTACAAATTATCAAGAATAAATGTTCACTCTGGCACGACATTAAAAATGAGAAGGTTGTTATTCCCACAACAAACAAGTTAAATGATCCATTAACACATCTTAGTCTTTACAAAATTACCAAATCAACAGGAAGGACAGGAGCACAGACAGACTGCAGGCCAAGCTGTTCAAGAGCCGTTTTAGCCAGATTCACTCTGGTTCCCCACAAGTGTCTTTGGGGAAGGTAGAAAAACAAAGTGGATTTCACAAAGCAATGCATTTTGTAATCTTTGTATTGATGGTAGGTGTTAACTTAAGATGCTCTCCCAGTGGCTCCTCATTTAAAACAAAAACAAACAAGCGAACAAACAAAAATGCCTTCGGTTTTTAAAATACTTGCACATGGAAGGCTAAAAGAAAGTCAAATCAAATCTGTGACTGTTATGCCAAAACAATTCCAGACCAAAAAAGAGAATTGCTTGTTTTTCAGTAACTAAAAGTTTCAAAAATTTATGACAACGTCTTCCGTCTGCTGTAAGTGAATAAAAACACCAAAACATAAATGTGCTAAATAGCACAAAATCCCAGCTTTAAAAGAATGTAAAGAAAAATCATCTGCATCCTAAATACTAAATACTTACAATATTTTGAAATATTAAAATATAATAAAGATATCTTAAGAACAGTTTATCTTTATATCATAATTTGACCAAGTTAGATCCCTACGCTATCATCTTCTTACGCAAGGAGAGCTGAGGTATAAAAAGCCACAGATCCTGCTTTTCAACAAAGTGAGTTATTGAATATTAAAAGTGAAGTTGGAAAAATTTCATTTGGATTTTTTTATGTCCTTCATTTGTTGCCTTTTACTAAGTGAAGATCAGTCCTATAATCTAAGATATGCACTCTAAGAACCCACAAACTGATAATGGATAGAGAAGATGTAGTATATGTAGGTAATGGAACATTATTCAGCCATAAAAAGAGGAATGAAATCCATGGAGAAAATAATGCTAAATGAAATAAGCTAGGCTCTGAAAGACAAACAGTCTAGGTTCACACTCATTACCAGAAGCTAAAAGATCCAGCTGCATAGAAGTGGACAGGGAAATGATGGGTACTGGAGGTGGGGAAGGGGAGGGTGGTGGAGGAAACTGGGGAACTTGTTAAACAGATGCAAGACTATAAATAGGTAAGTGGAATGACTCAAAGAGTAGCAGTACAGCACAGTAAAGTAACTATAGTTGATGATAATCTACTAAATACTTCAAAATAGCTGGAAGAAAAGACTTTATATGTTCCCAACACAAAGTCATGCCATATAGTTGAGATGATGGACTTCTTTATTGTTCATTACACATTATATACACATATTTAAAAACCCCACTGTACCACATAAATACATAAGTAATAAAACTTATTTAAAAAATGGTTTTCCTACACACACACACACACACACAAACACTGGAAAATAATACTTAGGATTCCAAATGTCCACAAGTACAAAATACCCATTGTAGCTCCGTATATCTTATCCAGTTAAATGTCCACCAACAAGGAACGAATAAGCTATGTGACATTCATATAGTCAAATACAATGTAGTATTAGAATAGGATAGCAGAGACACAGATGTAATAAGATAGAAAACATACAAGAGGTATATGCTTATGAGTGATTTGCAGTTTGTAGTTTATACCCTACAACAGCAGCCTTGAAGGTTACACAGAGCTCTATGAAGAGTGGTTTGTTTTAGAGAAAAGTGGAATTTGCTTTGATATTTAGAAATATGTTTACTAAACATTTAAACATGACAAAATATTGAAACCAGTAGATGGCATAATGGCTATGTTGCTGAACTCTCATGTAGTTAATTACGGTTCGAGTCCTGGACCCAGTGGCTTAAATTCGCACCAGGCACATGTGCAGATCTTGAGAAGAGAATGGAGGAGAGGAGATTGTGGCATGGCCACCCCCCCTGGGAGGGGTGATTTCTCACTTTCTGTCTCTCTGTTTCTCTCTTTCTGGCAAGCACAAACGCTCTATAACAGAAACCTCTCCAAAAGCAAAAACAAAAACAAAAGATAAAATATTAGAATACTACTCTATAATTCTGAGGAAAGAAAACTTGTCTACTTTAATGTCACTTTATAACAATGTTTATTTTAGTATCTGCCACAGTGTAGTGCTCAATGAATATTTCTTGAATGGCTTGAGGTGACCTTTTTTCCTTTTAAATAATTATTTTATTTATTTATCTATTTTTTAATTTGACCAGAATGGGACAGAGACAGACAGAGGGAAGGAGAGAAACAGAGTTACCAGGTTTGGGACTCAAACCACGGTTGGCCACATGGGAGTCCAGTGCCCTTAACCACCACGCCATCTGCTTGTCCTGAGGTGACATTTTACAAACATTTATTAAGTAAAATATTGCTTCACTTTAAAAAACAATTAATGTATTACACTTGTAATAAAGTTACTTGTTTTTTTGGAGAGGTTTTTGCTATAAGGCGAGTGCACTAGCCAAAAAAGACAGAAATAGACAGAGAGACCAAAAGTGAGAAAACACAGTCCCCCCCCCCCCAAGGAGGACCCACCACAATTCCTTCTCCATTCTCCTCTCCGGATCTTGGGCATGCATGTATGCACATGCACCCGGCATGCGTTTAAGCCACTGAGTCCGAGACTCAAACCACAGTTGACTACATGGGAGTCCAGCAATATAGCCATTATGCCATCTGCTGGTTCCAGTAGTAAAGATACTTTTAAAAACATCTAGGGGACCAGCAGATGGCATAGTAGTTACATCACTGGACTCCCACATAGCTGACCACAGTTCAAGGCCCTGGAACTGGTGGCTTGAAAATTATGCTGGGCACATGTGCATGCATGCCCAAGGTCCTAGGAGGAGAATGTGGGGAAGGGATTATAGCATGGTCATATCCCTTGGTGGTGGTGGTGGTGGGGGGGTGTGATTTCTTTCTTTCCCTCTCACTGTCTTGCTCTCTTTTGGCCAAGTGCATGTGCCCTTTGGCAAAAACCTCTTAAAAAAAAACTCTAAGAATGTATATATGTGAATATCTCTTAAATTACAATCTAACCTTCAAGTTAAAGGAATTTTCAAGAATAGTCACATAACTTTCTTTTTTTCCATAAGGAACTCTAAAAGCATGACATTTTCTATCAACTTTAAAAACATAGGAGGGACCAGCAGTTAGTGTAATGGCTATGTCGCTGGACTCCCACGTAGTTGACCGCGGTTCGAGTGCCGGACCCGGTGGCTTAAACTCACGCCAGGTGCATGTGCGTGCATGCCCAAGATCCCGAGAGGAGAATGGAGGAGAAGGGATTGTGGCATGGCCATCCCCTCTGGGGGGTGATTTCTCGCTTTCTGTCTCTATGTCTCTCTCTGTCTGTCTGGCGAGCGCACGTGCCCTATAGCAAAAACCTCTCCAAAAAACAAAACAAACAAACAAAAAAAAAACATAGGAAAGGAGCTTACAACCTGAAACCTTGTGGTTGTTCAAATTCAAACCAAGGGAATATGAATAAAAAGCAGTCGTCCAATGAAATAAACAGAAAAATCCACAAGATTCTGGGTGATTCACTGAGTTTTTTCCTTGCTCTAGCCTTCTACCTAGACAAAGATAAATGTTACATTCTGAGGAAATACTTAACATCAAGTGTCAGTTATCATTCACCAGTTTATTCTCAGTCTACCTTACAAACCTATATTCTCTTTGTAATAGTGTAATGCCTGATTTCTCGTAACTTAGATACCATCAAGTACTGAAAGCAGCCAAAGAAGCTCTGTGTCAGCAGGGACCAAAAATAATGGACTTAATTTGCTGGTTTTTCTGTAAATGATTTGCTAATTTACACATGTAAACATTAGTATTACATAACTTGTAAAATATTGAATTGTATTTAGTAATGCTTTGTAATAAAGACAAGACTAATTTGGGGGCTGGTAGGTGGTGTGGTGGTTAAGGGCGGTAGATTCCCACATGGCTGAGCATGGTTTGAGTCCTGGACCTGGTGGCTTGCTTTCTTACTTTCTCTCTCTCTCTCTCTTTTTCTCTCTTCCTCTCTGGCCAAATTAAAATAATTAAAGTTAAATACAATAATTCTTTAAAAAAAAAAAGACTTATTTTTGTGACTACGTGGGATTTGAGTGGGTCTGAGATATAAAAAAGCCTTCAAAAATGTGAAGAAATGTGCATGTTCATGATTACCTTTACTCTAGGGCAATCAGCTAGATAATTGTTCCGATAGGAACCAACCATTATAATGAAGGTCCATTGCTCACAGTATGAACCAGAGCCATAAGACAGGTTGGTACCTGGAGTTAAACTGAACATTTTGGTGCCAGGATACAGGTAAATACATAGCCAACTTTTGAATGAGCAATCTAAATCTGGCAAAATCACTGGAGATTTTATTTGGCAATTATTATTCTATAAAATTATTGTTCTATAAAATAGTTAAGTAGAATTGTTGTTCTATAAAAGAAATTATAGAATTTATAAGAAACTAGAAGAACTTTTCAGTATTGGACAGAAACATGGGACTTAAGCAAAGATCACAAAGCCCGAAGAGCCTAATTAATAACTTTTGCAAAGTTAACAGAATATATGAACAGAAAAAGGCACTAAGCATAAACAAACAGCCCTATGAAAGCAAACAACATGGGTACAGTCCACCACCCAGGCCAAGAAAAAAAGACTTCCTGGTCCCAAGCTGATCTAGTCTTTATTTAAAATTCTGATATTTTATCATAGATTTTTGCATAAATTTGGATATTTTAAGTATATTGCATTAAAATAACATTTCTCTTGATTACTTAGTGTTTTGGTTCTCCCTTAAATTATGTGTGTGTCCTACTCTA